TTTTTTTGGTACTGAGGATTGAACTCGGGGGCCCTGAGCCACATCCCCAGCCCTTTTTTATTTTGAGACAGAGTCTCACTAAGTAGCAGAGGCTGGCTTTGGACTTGCAATGCTCCTGCCTCAGCCTCCTGAGCTGCTGGGATTACAGGGTGCGCCACGCAGGCCTGTCGGTCATTATTCTTGAAGACGCTCGCGTTGTCCAAACTTGACAAGCTGCCCACTCTGCCTCTGTGCTGCTGAGCATGGGGTTGTCTGTAGATTTGTCACTATGGCAAGTCACGTCCACCAGTTTCCAGAAGCCACGCTGCCTCTCAGTGGGCCTGTCTGTGGTGCCTGACCTGTGGGCTGAGCTGGCAACCTCTGGCCAGGAGGGGTCTTCCTGGCCTTTTGGACTCTGTGGTTGGCTCCACCCACCGTCCCTTGGAGGAGGGCCTGTGCTTGGCTCTCCCGCCTTTTATGATGCCCAATGGGGGCAGGGTTCCCAGGAGTTTCTATAGGGGCCACAGGTTCCTGGGTTCCAGCCAGGGGAGTTTTGAAGACAGCCTTGCAGAAGGAGGAGCGGCTGGGGAAGGAGAGGGGCTTTTGAGAGGTGTCAACACAAGAACTTGCCAATTCTGAAAGTCCTCGGTGCTAGCCCCTGTTCCTTCAACCCAAACTTGCTGAGTATGAGTCACCAATGTGCTTTCAGTTAGGCCCAGTGTCAGTGTGCCCCTGTTAGGCCCGTGTGTCAGTCAGATTTTCTTCACCGTGACCAAAATACCTGACCAGAAAAACTTGGAGGCAGAAGGGTTTATCTCGGCTCACCGTTTCAGAGGGTACGGCCATGAAGGGTCCATCTTCCCCTTGAAGCTGGCTCAGCGCTGCAGAAGAGGTTGGCACAAAGCTTCCCAGCTCGTGAACCCAGGAAGAAGAGGGAAAAGCTGGGGGAGGTAACCCTTCCAGAGGGTGCCCCTCCTCCCCCAGCTCGGTCCCACCTCCCCTCAGTCCACATGCTGTAATCAATGGTGATTAAAGATGTCCGGTCCGGTCATCGCCTGCAAGCCTCGCCTTTGAAGCTCATTGCACTAGGGATCATGTTTCCAACCCACGAGCTCTTGGGAGAAATTCCAGATCCAAGCCCTGACGTCTCCCCACAATCCCCTAAGCTCATAGCTACCTCAAAATGCAAAATGCATTCAGTCCATCTCTAGGAGTCCCAGTAGCCTTAACAGAATTGCTCAAAAGTCCAAGTCCAAGGACTCCTCTTGAAGCCAGATTTAAAGACAGGTAGTTGGTGTAGCTGGATAAATCGGTCAGATGGAAAAACAGGAGTCTGATTAGAGCCGAGCAAATGGGAAACAGCCCCTGGGAGAATGGAAGGCTCCTGTCTCCAGAGCCCTTTGATACTCCCCCTCCCAAAAGAGTTGTTTTAAGCAACTCCTGAGCAGACAGGGAGCTGCTCATCAAAGCCCTAGGCTTCTGCTCCCTTCCTGTCCAGCACTCCACCTGGCCCTTCCAGGCCACCTGCTCACCCCCTGGCCATCCCACCACATCCCCAGCCTCTGTGCAGGATGAGGTAAATGAATAAGATAAGGGAGAAGAATGCAGGAGAACAGGGGACTTCAGACACATAAAAGGGACAGGACTTCCTCACTCCACTGATTCTGCCTTTGGGTCCCCTTCTTCCACATGGGAGAAGCCTGCTGGTCTGTCCTTTAATAAAGCTTCTCACTTCCTACTGCACGCTTGCCTGGGCGTGCTTCTCTGCTGTGACCCTGCAACATGGAGGAAGCAGGACTTGTCTAGGTGACCGGTCACTGGTGGTGTCACTCAAGACAAGCTCTCAGTGTGAGCCTCTGTAAAACTCAAAAGCAAGTGACGTGTATGCAATATGTTATGACACAGAGGAGACATCCCATTCTTCCAGGGAGGAAAAAGGGGCATAGAACCTTGGGGCCAGAGCAAGACTGAAACCCTGCTGGGAAAACATTAAACCTCTAGCTCCATGCCCTGTGGGCCCCGAGGCCCGCTGCAGCCCGCGTGGCCTCTCTCGAGCTGGCTCTGCTGTTCCCTGCAGCTCTCCTCAGCAGATGCCCCATACTCTTGGCATCCCTGACTCCCAGGGCTCTCCACTGCAGCTTGGGCTTCACTCTCACGGCTTCCTGGGTCGCCGTCTGAGGGCCTGCCTGCAGTTGTCCATGCCCTGCTATGCACTGCCTGGCCTTCGAGCTTCCCTTTGAGATCCCAGCAGAAGCCTCCAGGACCCATAACCACAGCAATTTTCATTCCTGCAGATTCCCTACTACATGGCCAGAGCCATCACCAGCTTGAGCAGTCACCAGGCCCCCCCCCACCCCGTGGACCTCACCGCCAAGTGCCAGGGAGCCGGGCTGAAGGATCCCTGGGGAAACGACCTCCTAGGCAGCCCAAGGAGTGTGCACGACTGCAGCCCTGAACCTGCAGTGGGTGTGGTCCTGCATTTCCTGAGGTGCCCTCTTGGTATCTCTCCTGCTAACTCCCCAAGAAGCAGGTTTCTCTTTAGGGGTGCTGATCTCAGCAACTACACATACTTTGGCCACAACTTTAAACCTACTTTATTTCTGGTCAAACTGCAAATTTTTCAAATCCTTCTGCTCTGCTTTTTGCTCCTGATTCTCTCTGTCGCCTGGCTGAAAACCTCCAGCCTGTGCCACTGCCTGAGCCCTGCACTGCGGGGCACTTTCCTCCTCTAGGTCGAAGAGTCTGTAAGCTTTACATTCAGCCTGACAGAAAGTCTCAGGGCATGGACAAAACGCAGAAAGGTTCTTTGCAATAATGTAACCCGAATGGCCTCTAGTCCAGTTCCCAATACAGTCCTCTTCCCCCCTGAAACTTGGTGAGCACAGTTCTTACTGCACACATTCCGATCAGCATCTGGTCCTGAGCTCCCACCACAATCACCCATCAAGCTCTGCTTGCAACACTCTAAGGCTTCTCCTGCCTGCGTGTCCAAGCTCCTCCTGCAAACCAGTTCTCAGGTCTCAGAACCAGAGTAGCAGGAATAAACACAGCTGTGACCCCCATTCTGGGTTCCAATTTCTGTGTTAGTCACCTTTTTATCACTGTGACCAGAATACCTGACAAGAGTAACTCAAAGACGGAGGACTTATTTTGGCTTACAGTTTCAGAGAGATCAGTCCATGGTCAGCTGGCTCCATGGCAGAAGGACATAGCGGAGGAGAGCCGCTTGGCTCAGGGCAAAGCTGGGAGAAGCAGGCAAAGGGAGGTGGGGGAGGTGAGCCCCTTGGGCACGCCCCAATGACCCACCCCTCCAGCCAGTCCCCTCCCAGAAGTCCATTCAGCTCCCAGTGGATGTGGAAGAGCACACTGATGATGTCAGAGACCTCATGATCAATCATTAGCCCACGAGCCCACCTCAAGCCCACCTCTGAGCCCACCTGGAGCCCACCCGGAGTCCACCTGGAGCCTACCTCGAGCCCACTTGGAGCCCACCACTGAGCCCACTTTGAGCCCACCGCTGAGCCTACCTGGGAGTCTTGCTGTGTTGGGAATGCACTTCTAACACGTGAGCTTTTGGGGGACATTCCAGATCCCAACCAGAACAGCCCAGGACAAGCTGCCTGTAGCTCCCGAAACCCCAAGCACCATGCCTGCCCACAGGGTCTCTTCCTCAGGAAAGGAAGGCCTGGCAGCCTGCACACCCTCAGAACCCCGAGCCTTATCTCGTGGTGAGTTCCAGCACTGGCATGAGGGTCCAGGTGTCAGGAAGGAAAGGAGAGAAGAATGCTCAGCCCCGCCCCTCGGAGAAGGCTCGGGATGGCCCAGAACCTCTGCTCCAGCCTCTGATGAGAGCTGGCTGCCCCAGAGAGGGTGGGAGAGGAGGCCCTGGGGTGAGACAAGGCCTCCCCGTGGGGGATGGGGGAGGGTGTGCTTGCTGTCTAGCTGGGCTG